GAGATCAAGAGCTGGAATGAAGCAATACAATGTGGGTGCACCGTTTGAAAGGATCGCCATCGATGTAGCCGGACCATTCCCTTTGACTGATGATGGAAATAAATACATCTTGGTTGCTATGGACTACTTCAGTAAGTGGGTAGAAGCATACGGCATGCCAAACCAAGAAGCCTCCACAGTTGCCAGGATATTGGTCGACAACATGTTTTCACGGTTCGGAGTACCAATGGAATTACATTCTGATCAAGGGAGAAATTTTGAGTCGAACTTATTCAAAAAGGTCTGTGATCTAATGGGAATCAGTAAGACGAGAACAACTCCACTACATCCACAATCCGATGGCATGGTCGAAAGATTCAACCGAACTATGGAAGAACATCTTTCCAAAGTAGTCGAAGAGCATCAGAGGGACTGGGACAGGCATCTTCCCTTATTCCTGACGGCGTATAGAGCAGCTGTCCATGATTCAACGAAGCTAACTCCAGCTAGTATAGTCTTTGGAAGAGAACTCCGCTTACCTTGTGACTTGGTGTTCGGTTCACCAAGTGTTGAAGAAAAGGAAGTACAAGACTACGCAGATGAGCTCCGGAATGGCTTGATGAAAATTCATGAGACTGCTCGGAAAAGATTGAAATTAGCAAGTGACAAAATGAAGGCACGGTACGATCTCAAAGCCAATTCAGAGGGATTCTTTGAAGGAGATCGAGTTTGGCTGTATAATCCTCGACGGAAGAAAGGCGTATCACCCAAATTAACACCATCTTGGGAAGGACCGTATATGGTGTTGAAAAGGATCAACGATGTGGTCTACAGAATCCAACGCAGCCCTAGGACAAAGATGAAAGTCGTTCATCTTGAAAGACTGAAGCGCTACCATGGTGAGGAGAGTTCTGTTTTTGATCGGGACGATCAAATTTGAAGAAGGGGGTAAATGTTACGACCCTGGCAATCGATCCCAGCTACCTGCGGGAATTCTTGGAATAGTAATTAGGTGATTCGACGGCTATTGAGATGACTCGAGAAGATTATCGACCTGTTCACGATATTTCGAGTGGAATCTAGACGTTTTATTAGGTAGTATAAATAGTTGTTGTTAGGGACAGGAAGAAAAGTCTTTATTTGGAAGCGTTATAATAACGATCGAAGAAGTGTTGTGAATCGGAAGTGTTTAGTACGAGTATTGTTATTATTGTATAGTAGTGTTCAGAATAAATTATTTTAAGTGTTATACCGAGTGTTAAGTTATTACGGACCCAGAGTAAAAATCGTAACAATACCAATATTTTTTGGCACAACTGTCAGAAATTTCATGAATTGTCAAACTATAATTATTATGGACATTTCCATATCAACCAACCATTCCAACAACTGCGATTTCTATCAATTTTTATTTTAATTGAACTCTACAGAAAAAATAAAGAGATATAATATATCATTATGAACAATCGGAGAAAAAATTAGCTGGATTCCTAGCCTCGCTACGCTCGGCTATGAATTCAGCCTCGGCAGTCAATCTACTACTTTGCTGACTAGTTAAACAAATAACTATTACCAAATGGTTGGAAAGAATTCTATTGCTAAAATTCATAAAAAAAAATGCAGAATTTTTGAAACTGCCTGATGTCATAAATCATACCTGGCATAGTTTCAGAAGAACCTCGGCAAGGTTACTTGCGAATTCAGGAGGAGGCATTCTGCAACAATCTCTCACAAAATAGCAAAATATTTCGAACCAAATTGTGGGTCACTGAAGTTCTTTATGAAAATATCACGAAAACGGCATTGGCTCCAGATCTCACTTCTAGTGGTATTCAAATAACCACTGCTCAAAACTGCACTTTACACATTAGTTTATATACCTAATTATTACTCTAACACAAATTGAAAATACAGTTCTCAACACACTAAATGGACCACTCATAATTTGACTCTATTTCGAAGACCTGTATTTCTTGAAAAAATGGACCGATCTTCATGCGGTTTTCGATATCAGATGTGATATTTCATCGGCTTCAAAGAGAGCTAGAACACTCTGAAAAAGTCCGCAGAACAAAACTTACACAGGGTGTAAAGTGGAACCATTACACTATGGTCTACATTTCCAATGCTGCCAGAACTCGAGAAATTTTTTTCTGATCAAAAGTCAGTCATATTATGATACACTGGGACCTCATCTCGGGAAGTTTTCGTGATTTCTCCTCAATTGGCCATTGGAACAAAACTTCGATTTTTTTTCGAAAGTCTTGCATTTCCTCTAGAACTCCACTTGAGCTGACTATTGGGAAGAACTATTATCATGTTTTGTGGAGGACAATGAAAGACGAAAAAAGCACTTTCTTGGAGTATACAGGATGATAAGAAAATAGGACAAAATCTCATTTCAGTAAAAAAAAAATAAAAAATTGTGACTAAAACTATGGCCCATTCGATCCAGTATATTCAGAAACGGACTTCTCGATATCCATTATTTATATTAGACTATTAACTCGAGACGTTTTCGAAAATTCGCCTCCAATTGAAATACAGGATGAATATTTTCAATTCAAACTTGATTCCTGATATCGATGATTTCCAATATTTATTTCCCAAGTATGAGACGCAGAGTATTGTTGTTCAATATACTGAGTGTTTTACAACTTATCTGACAAATTTCAACCACAACTACGATATTACATAGGAAGTCTATCACAAAAAAAAACTATAGAAGTAAAACGAGATGGAAAATAAAATTTGTAACACTTTATATCCACTGAAACTATTCGAAAAGGATGATAAGAAAATAGGACAAAATCTCATTACAGTAAAAAAAACAAAAATGGTGACTTAAACTATGGCCCATTCGATCCAGTATATTCAGAAACGGCCTTCTCGATATCCATTATTTATACTAGACTATTAACTCGAGACGTTTTCGAAAATTCGCCTCTAATATAAATACAGGATGAAAATTTTCAATTCAAACTTGTTTCCTGATATCGATGATTCTTATTATTTTATCAACTGATTTCCAATATTAATGGCCCAAGTATGAGACACAGAGTATTGTTGTTCAATATACTGAGTGTTTTACAACTTATCTGACAAATTACGAACTCTAGAAAACAATAATGTTAAAAGAATGTGGTGACCAGCATTATCTCAAGATCTGAATTTGATTGAACATGTGTGGAGCCGAATGAAACTTAACCTATCGAGAAGGCGAGGCACCCCGAAATAATGACAACCTTATCCAAGCTGTATCAGAAGAATGGGAGACAATATCAATAGACTTCATCAACAACCTCATAGAATCTATGCCAAACCGATTTCATGAGGTTTTGTTAACTAGGGGAGGCCTACCAAGTACTGAAATTTAGGATATAGGACTTTTTAGTTGGATCTTCATAATGCTGAAAAATTCACTAATGTCATATTTCGCCAATAGAGCCCATGGGGGTAAAGTATATTCTATTCTTCCTTTTCCTGCAATTTCACGTATTACTTTTTATAAGCCTACTTTTCGTTCTAGAATTAGTCACTCCATAAATTTTTCTCCGAGTTGGATTTCCGAAAATATATTTAGCACACATGACATGAGTACAGTAGTTCAGATACCCACATCGAGGTTTCACCATTTCTCAATCATAAGGCCCAGCTCATTCAGCTCATAGTTGAACTACTGCTCAGCTTGAAATCAGAATTCATTCAGTCAAGTCAGTCACTGCCTGTATGTCACTGTGGTGAATTATTTCTTGGTAATGGAAAGGGTTCGATCTCTTTACTTCATATTGTATGTTAAGTTCTTCCATAATCACGAGATATACCCTGGTATACAGTCTAAGAACAGTCTCTTTTGGTGAAATATATTAAGCTTTTAGTACAAATTATATGTTTCCTACCTCGCAAAGATTATGCTGGAGTAGTAAATTCTAAGACTAGAGGATTGTTCAACTTTATTTTTGTAGTTGTACAAATGTCAAAAATCTATTGTTTATCCCCAGAATTGAATAAGGATGGAACTATATAACTGTTCCACAAACACTTTAGAGTGAGAGGAGACGAGGATCTGTCCGTACCCTGTTAACCCTTTCGGTCACCATGGTCGTTAAAACGAACATGTACTTTTCGTGCTAATAGTAAATTGAGGCGACACCTATCATTCCATTTATACACCACATCAGACGCGAGGGACCTTTATATTCAATGACTGATATAGGTAGCACTATCTCTCGGGATATTATACAAGTTTCGCTTATTTACCTTCTGTGTGTACAATGAGTCAGCTGTTATTGTTCATGTACACATTTCTCGTGTCTGTTTTGATGAAATAGTAAGTGAATTTGAGTTCCAAAATTCATTTTTCAATGCCTCATATGTTCATTATAATATATAAAAAACGAAATGATCAAATATCATATATTTTCATACACTAATTCGAGAAAAATCATATGTACGTTAGAACGAACATGGTGACTCGATGAAGTGGGCCATTTACCAATATTTGATGGAAGTAGGGATGGAGCAAGGTGCAAAAATGGAGCTTGCCTCAAAAAAACACATTTTAATTGAATGAAATGTAGTGTACATTTATGTAATACTCGTGATCGTAATTGTTTCAAGGATTACCATATGAAATAAACCATAATGTTGTAGCTATTTATTTCCTTTCCTTCTCGTAGAGTCACCATGTTCGTTGAAACGAACATGATTCTTTTTAGAAAAATCAAGGCCGTACGGACTTCAAAAAAATTCTCAAAAATCATATAAAAAATCACTTCAACCCCCACTTTCATAAAAAAATTTTTACTGAAAAAATGAAAAGTCGTGACTGAAAGGGTTAAGATGACTTCAACGTCAATTTCCATCAAGGAACTCTAGTCAACAGAAATACAGTCACACTTTATGGCAGGGTCGTGGACACCAACATCATTCCGATGTTCTCGGCACATACGAATGCGCCGGCAGTCATGATCAGGTCAGAAAAGTTCCGACATGATTAAACGGTTCCATGGGGGACTGAACTAATAAAGAATATTGCAGCAGTTGATTTGATTTGAACCAAACCCTGGAATATAAACGTTATATCAGTAAATACATTATTGAGAAACCTAGTCTCAAAGATGTTCGTGAATCGATTGTCAGATGATGCAAGACATACTGTTTTGGCTTACTAAGCCCAATCAATTTCAGTAGGCCAGCTGACAGTAGATTCATGAATAATACTCAGACAGATAACACCGTTGGAAGCCACCTAGTGATGAAAGTATAAAGGTGTTTTAGTATAGGATATATACTTGTAAATCTATCGTACGTAAACTTCTACGTTTGTGCTACAGAAACAAAATGTCACAACACCGCAGACTATTGCAACACCTGTAAATCTCAAAGTGGTTTGATGTCGATTAAGATATTCTAGGTCTAGGTAGAGGATTCCAGTATTCGCGAGATTCACGAAGTGGGCGACATCTAGGTTACATAATACGAACTTCAAACTGGGGGAAAACAAACTGTTGTCTATGGATAAAGTGCATAGACTACATTGCATACATCTTGCTGTAGCTGTAGTTGTCAAACTTGTCAATGACATAAAGTGATATCACCCTTATCAGTACACAGTACACAAGCTAATGGCACTAATGGGATTGAGTTTATTTTCCCCCAGTTTGGACGTGGCTTTGACATGAAACGATGAAAACCGAGCGCCACCTGGTAACATTGGTTCCCGCGAATATGCAGTATCCTGTCATTTTAGGTTTTGCTTTAGTGACCTCAGTTCGCAGTAGATTCGTAGTAGATAGTAGATTACTTGATTTACTATTCAAGGACCTGGAGTTGCCTTTTCAGGGCTCTGTAAATTGTTCGATTAATTACCAAATGGCCTCCACAGTGACCAATGCAACAATCAATGAACTCAATACAACTGGAAGGGATACGATCGTTCTCTCGAATAGCACAAAGTGTGTCAGGGGCAGCTGCAACAAAGATAGCATGATTTACGGATACCTGTCCTCATAGATTAACGACTCCCCTAGATATACACCGCCCATGCATTCAGACGGTAACGCTTGTTTGGGATTTAGTTGGGACCCCGAATTTTTACCATCTATCGCCGCTATTGCGAATTACCGCGCGTGGTCGCAAATTCGATTCTTTACAGATTTCTGTAACATGGCATTCAGCGTATAGAAGCGGAGTTGTCAAATGTTAGTTTTTGTTGGATTTCTAATATATTGGTAGGTACATGTAGATTATTATAAATCTACGATACTGCAACCACAATTATTTTTAGTATAAGACTTCCTTAGTATGTATAAGAGATTTCAATCTTTAATCTATGAATCTATGCTAGGTATTATGTTATTTTATTAGTTTTCCATTGTGCTCGAATTATGATTACTCATGATGTGTTATTGTGCCTACCTATGTGAAGCTGGAAAATTCAAGAACGTGAGTTGACAATAAATAAATGAACATGAGTGTGAGAAAGTAGAAATTTTGGAAATTCAATTGATCGAAAACTCCAGAGTTTAGAAGCTAAAGATGCATTTGGATATGGGGCACTGTTTTTAGGGTAAACAGTCGATGAATTTAGATTGTTTAGAATGTTTAGATCTGTCTATATACAAGGAAGTCCAAATTCGTGATAGTTACACCATTTTTAATTCAACAACGGCTGGAACAATTTTCATGATATTTGATTTTTCATTGTATTCATCTGAAATATGGGATAATAAGTTCAAAAATTCTTCAAAATTAGGAAATTCGAGATGGCGAACCCAATATGACGAGTTCTGTGATTATGATCAGATTCTATTCAAGATTGGTATCTGGGGGTTTACATGGTCGGAGATTATGATTCCTTCGTCAAAAATTCTATATAGTGGATCCAATATGGCGGACGAGTTTTGTAATTTATAATCGGATTCTATTCAAAATTGGTATCTGGGAGTTTTCGAGGTTAAAGATTAATGGACAAAATTATAGAAAATTCGAGATAGTGGATTCAATATGGCGGAAGAGCTTTGTAATGAATAGTAAAGTTTTTGATAAATAGTATTCACGAAACGAGATTCAATAGATTATTTCACTTTACAAAACAGTCGTGAGACAAAATAGTTATTTTTGTATCTAGAGCACGAAATGCTACTTTGGTGATCGAGATCTGATTTTTTTAAAGAGGCGTAGTCGAGTTAAAAAAATAGTCGAGATGACCAAAGTATTTCGCGCTCGAGTTGCAAACAACATTTTTTCTACGAACGTCAAAAAATATAGTTCTAATGTAAAAATATGCTTAGCTCGACATAAAAAATAGTGTTGAACTGGCTTAAAAGGCCTTCCCCTTTCCCTAGTTACGCACGATGTTCCACGAGCATACCAAATAGGAATTTCCTTTCGTGCGTTCCAAGAGATAGAACAAAGTTATTGTTGAACATCCAGAAATAAATGATTTCGTGGATGTTTGCTCGATTGAGGACTATGAGGTTGAAATATAAATATCTCATATATTTTACGTAACAATGCGCGAAGTAGGTACCTCGCGCACTGTTTTACTTCGCGCACTGTTTTACTTCGCGCATTGTTTTGTGCATGGTATCATGGTAACGTAGGAAACTGAAAAAAGTGTCACTTCGCAATTTGTTATCAATGCGCGAACCTTGTCATTTTTCGACGTTTGTAGGAAAACTATATTTTATATATCATTCTTATGAGAGAACAATCATATCATCAAAGGCCATTCTTCAAAAATACCTATATTCCATTTTTCTTTTATCTGTCCTTAAATATTTTGAAAGCTTTCATTTAACTTGCATTGTATGTTTGTATGGATGTATATGTATGTATGTTCGGGTGGAATTTTTGAACTCAATTTTGAAGTAGAAATCTTCAACCGATTGAGCTGAAATTTTGTATACACGTTCAGTTTGGATGACAATGCACGATAAGTTGTGTCACGTTATTCTAAATCCAATATGGCGGACTATCCAGGATGGCGGAACAGCTATTTTTGATATACTTTCACAATATGGGTATCAAATGAAGAGGCTCGTTGAGAGTAACTCGAAAAATAATGTGACGTCATTCTAAATTGAGTATGGCGGACCATCCAAGATGGCGGAATGGTCATTTTTAGTCTACTTCTACAATATGTGTATCAAATGAAAGGGCTAGTTGGGAGTAATTCGCAAAATGATGTGACGTTATTCTAAATCCAATATGGCGGACCATCAAAGATGGCGGAATAGCTATTTTTGATATACTTTCACAATATGGGTATCAGATGAAAAAGCTCGTTGAGAGTAACTCGAAAAATGATGTGACGTCATTCTAAATCGAATATGGCGGACCATCCAAGATGGCGGAATGGTCATTTTTAATCTACTTCTACAAAATGGGTATCAAATAAAAGGGCTCGTTGATAGTAATTCGAGAAATAATGTGACGTTATTCTAAATCCAATATGGCGAACCATCCAAGATGGCGGAATAGCTATTTTAAATATACTGCTTCTACAATATGGGTATCAAATGAAAAGGCTCGTTGAGAGTAAATCGAAAAATCCAGCTAGCGATAACCAAAAATTAAAAAATAAATTGAGAATAATAATAATTCCACTGGTGGCATTTATATATCTATATTCTATTCAGATATGCAATTTGAAAAAAAAAAATCGAATCAGAAATGCTCGGTCAGCATACTCTAATATAGGTCAGCAAATTATACGGCCCCTGCGTCATTGTTGAAAATATTTCAAAATCGCAATACTCCCACTGTGCACAAATCATAAATTCTTTTCCATTGGCAGCAAACAGCGGTACCTATTTTTTATAAAAGGTCGTAAATCATGCGGCGAGGGTCAGAAGATGCGTGTCAAACCGCAGCGCTAATGAGTCGTCGTGAAAAAAACTTTGATACCGATAAAAAAGCGCATCCTTTTTTATTGCGATAACAATTTTTTTGATATGCCTAGAACTGGATGGCAGTAGATTTTCTATCGTTTCCACAATTGTTTCTGATTCGACCGTCATTATTCCGAGGTAATCCTAATTCAAATTATACGCGTAAATAAACGTTGATAACGTTATATTTTTCAAAATAGGTAATAATTAGGTTTTCCATGTTTCGAGAACCCAAGAAATATGATCGTTAATTGTGAGAGCCTCACCGTAATAACATTGCCGTATATTCTTGAATTTCTATAGGTATTTTAAAGCAGTCTGAAATGATATGAAATAATGATAATTTGATATCCCACTGAAATTATGAAATTTGTATTTTCTACACATGCCAGACCCTCGTAAACATTGCAAATGAGGAATGTATATACCATCTCCATTCATAAATGTTAATTCTGAGAGCGGCGCCACTCTCTGGATACAAATTGTTGCCATGCAAGGGTTTCGTAGTCCCTAACTTTTTAGGTTAATTTTTCATTTTGAGTGGTTGAAAAAATTAGTACATATTTGTGAAGATCTAATCTATGTTCCTGTCGTCTCACTTTTTCGAAATTTGATTCAGTTTTTTCTTAAAAAAAATCGCTAAATAACGTGTTTTCGGATGATTTTCCAATTTTTTTTCCGGCGGAACCGAATCGAATTTCGAAAAAGTAAGACGACAGGAACATAGATAAGATTTTCACGAGTATGTACAATTTCTTTCATATACTCAAAATGAAAACTGACCCTGAAAAGTTAGGGACTACGAAACCCTTGCATTATTGCTTTATATCATAGTACAACTTCCTCTTCATCAAATAATATTGTTAAGAAATTGAAAATGAAGCTTAAAAATATATCGGAGCATAATATAATATCATCAATGTTAACAGATGACTGCATGATACATTTTTAATTCCTCATCAATCATTTGATTGTAGTAAAATTATATAAAGAGTGCAAATGGATGTCGACGTCTGAAAAATATTCGATTAAGAAGAAGAGTAGGAATGTATCAAATAAATCAAAACTTGATATTTTACGTAGTGTATAGATCATCGGGAGTCGTTATTCTATGAAATGTGTAATGTATTTTGAGTAATATATAAAACTTTCATGTGATTTTTTTGTC